CGTAATTAGAAGTAGTTCACGCAATTCCGGAATTGGTGGGAATCGGTGGGAATTCCCAGGAATTCCGTTCAATTCCACTGAATTCCTTCTTGATGCAATTCCCGGAATTCCGTAACGGAATTAGATCGTGTCCAAACGGGATAACTTATCAACACAACACAACAGATGTGGGTGAGGTGGATGGTGTGATTCCGGTACGGAATTCCGGAATCGGAACCAATTCCCGCAATTCCGGAATCGGTAGGAATTCCGTGCAATTCCGCAATCGGTGGGAATTCCGTGCAATTCCGGAATCGGTCGAACTCGATCAATCTCGACTGGATGTCTTATGTTGTGTGTCGATCGAGTTCCCGGAATTGGACGGAATCGATTCCGGTGCGGAACTGATTCCTCCAATGTTCAACATTGCGGAATAGGATGCATTCTCTATCCTCAAGCAGAGTCAAATGTTGATTCATTTATAGCTATATTTGACTTGAGAACTTCCAACTATTTTTTTTTCTTTCACACACAGTGAAATAACCTATTTATTACCTATTTATGATTATATAAGATCAGACGAAAAATTTTATTATATTTGAAAATAAATATAAAACTTCATATACAAATCTTTTTTGTTGCATATTCGACGTTTGTTATCCTTTGTATGATATAATTTAATATGCTGCGATGAAATTAATCTACACAATTCATAATTAATGTAGTTACTTTTGGATGTGGATGTAGTTGTCGCGCGATTGAATGTGTTATGAATAACTAACATCCACACCCGCCCGTACTCTCACCCACACCAAAATCCTAAAGAATTAAGTTTATATTCGACAGCATTATAACTACAGAATAACCATTGGTTTACTAAAATCTTTGAAATGATTTTTTTTATTTGTTTTGAATAAAACTTTCTTGAAAATTAAAAAAATGTTTTCTATGTGTAAATACTCGCTTAGTCAAGTTCTTAATTCATTCGTGGACCAAAAAGATTGTATTGTATCAGAAACTTCTTGTCATTCCAGCATCGTGCCGGTGGAATGAAGACATTCGGATCTTGGATACCAAGGGTGATATTATAATACCACATGTAGTTAACACTTCCACTAGGTTCGAACACAATATTAGAAACTGGCAGACAATTTTCAAAAGTCCATGTTTGTATGTAACGCGCAGTTTCATTCAATGGTATTGTCTGATTGCCACTCCTAGCACGACGAGAAAGAGGTTAGTCAAAACATACATTTATTAAATAAATTGAAATTAAAAAAAAGAATACTAACCAAATCGTAACGAGAAGACCAGCATCATGTATTGTAGATGAACCTATATACGCTTCTCCAAGTGATGTGGCATCTGATTGAATAGCAAAATCACTCCACGGCTGATCGAAGGTAGATCGTGAACATTCTCCATTTTTCATATTCACAATAAAGACAAGTTTAGCATCATAAAAAGTAATTATATCGTAGTAAGTTTCGGTTGTGCCAACTTTGACATGTTGTAGAATACGTGTGCGTTGATATATTGAATCGTAAGACAATTGACCTACAAGATCAGCATCTAATTTTGGATTAGAACTATGAACGCTAGCTTCCCATTGACTAGGACTTGTGCATGGACGTGGTTGTTGAGCAATGACAACACTAGCCAAACACAATATAAAAAATGATAACATATGTGTCGATGATTCAATATATAACTAACGAAATGACAATTCACATGTTGTTTCACTGTCCGTGGATGTCTTCTTAGAGTTGAAAGATAAGATTACACATCAACTGCGTTAGTAGCCTCAGAACAAAAGAAAGAATAATATTTTTGTTATCAAATATATGCAGTAAAAACACTGTTTTTAACCATAATATGATCTTAAACAACCGTTTAAACAACATCTCAGAAATCACTTATTGCCTGTGATTAATAAGAAACACTATTTGATAAAATATCCTTTGAATGAAATAGTTTATCGCCATCCTTGATAACAATGCGAAAAAGTAAGATGAGTCAGCAAGAAGTGTCATGAATATCGGCATAGTCATACCACATTTACTAAGATAAAATATTAGTTAGAGAGGTATATTAGTGTTCATGATTACAAATATATCAATAACAATTCTGACTTGAGTGGGGGGAAAACAAAATTTCATTTTTTCGCTGAGATAACTTTTATCACTATTATTAAAATGAGCAATATCACGATAGTGATGCTATAAAAAATATTATACATGAACAAAAACTTGTAATTCTTAATTTTGAGAACATGTAATGTGTGCATTTTATCTTTATCGATATGAAAATTGATGATCATTGCTTAATTAAGTCGAAATTCAGAATTAATAAAAATTCTTCCTTGATTTTTTTTTCGTATACATAAATGAAATGCTACATGTTCACAAGTAGCTCCATTATATTGACATCCATATGTTGAATTTAATTTATATAATCCAGCACCACCAAAAGCTGAGCGTACTTCAAGTAAACCATATTCAATTGGAATAACTTTTTCATGAATACCAAGAGCTAAATATCTAATTTCTGCTGGACTACAATGATTTTTACCAGATCCTCCTAACTCTCCCATTCGACGCCATACATCATAATTCATAACTGAATCAGATAATGTACGTAATGCCCAAAGATCAGAATATGCACCACTTGATGCTGTTGTCATTACTGACCAATCATCTATATTATATTGAAAATTTGAAAGAAATGCAGGAACTGCTGCAGAAAATGCATCTAAATCAGTAACTAAGATATAATCAGCTTTGAGATCACGTGTTTTGTTAAGAAGTGTATTGCGACAAAAAGCAAGACGATCAGTACGTCCTGGATGCGATTTCATCATATTACCATATGTATAAACTTGTGCACGAGGCCATTGATAAAGTTTTTCTACAGTTTTATCTTTTGAATCACTTTCGAAAATGAGAATACGAGATGATGGATGAAAAAGATCAATAATTGGTTCAACATGAGATCGATAATTTTCAATATCTTTTTCAACATTACGAGCACATGCTACGACAATTAAACGAAGAGAATGAAGTTGATGAAGAATATTTTGATATGATGAATTTGATATTCGTTGAGGTAAATTCTTTTGTGGATATTCTTGTTCAAAAAAAGGTCGAGTATCTGATTGAAGGCAGTTAGACGAATTAACCTTGGATAAGTGACGAGTAGTATTTATTGAAGACGTAGAGATCGTTTCAATTCCTGTTGCCAATAGTGAAATGTTACTTGAAGATCTGTTGACGAAAAAGACGATAACAAGAGTAAAACAAGTGACAAATACGAAAAGTAATAAGTATTTGAACTTGAAACATTGAAGTTGACGACATATAAACATTTTTTCCATTTCTATATCAAAAATAGATAAAATAATTCAGCAATATCATTAGTTGGACATAATTTATAGTATTAAAGATTGGATGTGAATACGGATAATGATGCGAATCTTCTTCAATCTCTACACCCACATCATCCAGATATTTTTAAGAATATGAAATATCTTTGTTGTTTTGCCTCGTTCACAGGCAAATAATTTATTTGTCTAGTCGTAAGAATGACAAGAAAAAATATTCACTATCATATTTAAAGATATCATTTGTATTCTTTAGACCACAATCAAATAGTATAATTTCACTTACTGTAAAATAATACCTAACAATAATTGAAGTCAAAAAAGAATGAATAAATAAAACATCAAAAGGCACACTTTTTTATTTCTTCTTTACTGCAGTGATCACTGATGCGTCAGTCATCGTTTTGTACCATGGTAAAAAAATTACCGATCAGCGCACGTTTTTATCTTTCCTTCGTTGCAATCATCATCAATACGTACATTTTTCGTTCGGCCGAACGAAAAAAGCAATACATAGTTAAAGAGAAGAAACTTCAAAATTAAATTTTGATCGACGAACTTTCGTTTTATAGTCATACGATATATGAGTCATTAAATCATAAAATACACAAATATACAAGAATGACAACATAAGTAAAGCATACACCCGACATCTATACTTTACAAAAGTCTATAATCATTGTTTTTTATTCATAGATATGAGTTTTGTATTATTCATTGCTAGTAACGTCTGTCTATTTGATACTGATATTCTAGTGGCATAGGATTTGAAGTCAATTTCATTGTTCTACCAATTTTTGATAAAGCAATTGAAACTTGAGTTTCAATCAATAAGTTTTTCAAAGAGCACTTCGAGTTTTATAAAAATTTTAAATTAATTTTTTTCTATAATCATCATAAGATTTAGTTAAATAAGTGTTAAAATCTAGAGAGTGTGCCGATGTGCATATAATAGTCAACGTCTTTATCTATCCTCACCTCTCATGATACGTATTTTTTTCTTTTCGATCGGATGAAGAATACACGTGTATCGGCGGTATAGTTTGTTTATCACATTTTCATATCGATTTTTATGCTTTTTGTGATTTTATTTTATCAAAAATATATAAAAAATAAAAGATCCGAATATACAACTAACAATACAGTGTTTAACTAATATAATGTTGACGAATAGATGCTGGAATACCCGTGATTGGTTGATAATGATATACATCTAATGGAGTAAAATCTATTTCACGTTCAACACCAATATGTCCATTCCATGGATTGACATACATTCCACTACCTTGTGTATAAACTCCATAGCCATAATTACCAAAACCAATGGTTTGATAATCACCATTGAAATTGTTGAGAAGATTTGGTTGACCAATCATTTTTATAACTTGAGTTTAAGAAGAAGAATTGATTAGAAGAATGAGTTTGTTTGAATATATGAAATTATGAGAGAATGTTGTGTGATATTTATATTGTAGATATTGTAGGAGATTGACGTAATTATTCTTGTTGATAAGCGTCATTATTGACGTAATATTATTATACAGTACGATGAAGGATAAAAATAAACGTAGACAAGGTATGCACTTTTAGAGGTGAATCGAGAATATTCTTCAATGTAAAATACGCAACGAATAGTTATTCTTTTTTTATTTTCCACACCATGCTTTTGACAAAGAATAAACTCATGGATACTCTTCTTACGTCAAACATCAATACTTAGTCAACGTTTATTTTTAGTCTTTATCGTACTGTATAATAATATTACGTCAATAATGACGTTTACCAACAAGATTAAGTACGTCAATCTCCTACAGTATCTACAATATAAATATCACACAACATTCTCTCATACTTCCATATATTCAAACAAACAAATTCATTCTTCTAATCAATTCTTCTTCTTAAACTCAAGTTATAAAAATGATTGGTCAACCAAATCTTCTCAACAATTTCAATGGTGATTATCAAACCATTGGTTTTGGTAATTATGGCTATGGAGTTTATACACAAGGTAGTGGAATGTATGTCAATCCATGGAATGCACACATTGGTGTTGAACGTGAAGTAGATTTTACTCCATTAGATGTATATCATTATCAACCGATCACGGGTATTCCAGCATCTATTCGTCAACATTATATTAGTTAAACACTGTATTGTCAATTGTATATTCAGATCTTTTATTGTTTTGTATATTCTTCATGAAATAAAATCAGAAAAAGCATAAAAATAGATTTTTTTTCTTAAATTATGTTTCATAGACTATATTCGAAAGTTTCTGATCGATTATATATCTTATATAAATATTATGAATTACAATATCTAGAATTTTGCATCAGTGGCATACTGATTAATTTAAATAATAGAAATACGATAGCAAATAATCCGATGATCAGTGTACAAAATAGTTATGTGTGAAAAGAAAGTTCAGTAATTCTAACAACAGATATCAATCGATACATTAAATTTGTTTCCATCATATATTTTAAACCCAATTTAAAAATATCACCATCATAATGGGTGTGGGTGTAGTTGTTAATATCGATGAGTGTTCTATTTCAGACACTCTCACACCCACACTCAACAGATTTCCATTGTTGATGAATAAAGTGACTGCTACCGATATAGTTTTTCGAACTTCAATATATATACATTCTTTCCCTCTCTACGTTTGATCATCATGCGTGTTTCTCTCTTTTATATTTTCTGTTCTTCAATAGTCTGAGTCATGAAATAAAAAAACACACATGACTTTATATTACTATTTACATCGTCATTAGATATCCAATGATTCGTTCTTATCACAGATCATGTTCCATAAGGGTGAAGATTTCCTTACCCAAACACCTTCGAAATATGAATATTGTTTAATTACTTTTTCTTTTGTTTTAAATAAATTGTATACGTAAGACATCTATCGAGAAAATGTTTCTATAGTCAAATTGAACAGACGGAAGAAGAAAGAATAACGATCGATTTTGATATTCAGTCAGTTTTAAGAAAAACATTCCATTAGTATGTCGATGACAACAATCGAACATTTGTCGAATGAAATTTTCTACGAAATCTTCGAATACTTTGATGCATATGTAATTTTTAATGGATTTTCAAATCTTAACGAACGTTTTCAATTACTTCTCAATTCTTCATTAACACGATTAAAATTAGATGATAATTATCCGCAATCAAAAGAACTTTTTCTTAATAATTATAAAGAACTTCTTCGTAATCATCATCTTCAAATACTATCAATACATTCATTCGATGAAAATACAACGAAAATAATTTCAACGATTAAATCTAATCTATCATTATTTCAATCTCTTCAATCACTTATTCTTTATTCTATTAAATCCGATATTTTATCATCACTTATTCATCAATTAGCATCTTTACCTAATTTCTATTCATTAACAATTGATCTATGTACTGAAGATCAAGATCATACGAATATTTACCAACCAACTTTTAATTTACCAAAATTAAAATATCTTAAATATCGAACATGTGATAATGAAGATATTGATATAGTGATTTCATTACCAATAGCAACAACTGATCAACTAAAAACATCAATTGAATATTTTATAATGGATCATGGTTGTTCTATGAAAGATCTTTTTACTTTATTATCCTATACACCAAATGTTCGTTATTTAAAATTTTTAAATCTTATTGATATAGATAATTTAAATACGATTGAACCAATTAAATTAATAAATTTAACAAAACTTTCATTGGAAATTTATGAAATGACATTTGATGAATTTGAAATTCTTATTAAAAAAATGGTATTAAATTTAAAAATTTTATCATTAGATATTAGACATGAAGATATGTCATATCTTAATGCTAAACGATGGGAAGATTTTCTTCAAGAGAATTTATCACAATTAGAAAAACTTTATTTTAAAAAAACCGTACATTTTTCGGATGATTATGAAACACCAATGTATTTAGGAGAACAAAACGAATTTAGTTCAACATTTTGGCTTGAACGTCGATGGATATTTAAAGTTGAAAATGATTCTGGACATTTAGTTTATTCAATTCAACCATATAAGTAAATTAGAAAATAAAAATCTCCATTTTTTTATTTTATTTATATTTTAGAAAGAAATGGTTTGAATATAATTCTAAATCAAACCAATTATTGAAATCTGTTGAATTTGAAATAGTTGATGTGTCACCTGAACACTGCGTAAAATCAATCCATATTAGTGATCATATTTATCATGCATTAACTATTACACAAATCTATCATTTACAAATCTCAACGATAATTTCTCTTGAAAATTTATATAAAATTTTACTTCTATTACCTGATATTGAAACGTTATCATTATTTCGATTATTATTTACTAATTCAACATCTATAACTGATGAAGAACTTCAACCATTATTTTTATTATTCCGTGAAAATCATTTTCAAAAACTTTCTTTTAGTGATGTTTATCAAGTGGCTGATGTTCATTTTTTAATGCTTATTTGTTTTCATGTTAATCATCTTCATCTTCATTGTAATGATTATAATCATGTTGAATCATTTGTAGGACTTATATTATCTCATGTTCGATCAAGAACAGATAGTAAACTTCGATTATTATCATTTACTATGCTAAAGTTTGCTAATGATATGATCGAATTTTTAACTAAAATAATTAAAGAAAATAAATTACTTAATGATTTTATTATTGAACAAATTAATAATGATGTTTATATAAAATGGACATGATTCTATTGTTTTATTAGGATTTTTGTTATTGTTGTTATAGAGTAGATATGATTTTTGAATAAATTGTTTATTAGAATTGAAAAAAAATATTCATCATTACTAATAGATGTACCAGTTACATAATTCAATTTATCATTATTCAGTACTTTTTTGTTGATGTTCGTAAAGTATTACTACCGAGAATTGAAACAAGTATAATGATTAGATATTGTATGTCGATCAGTACAGGGTGGGTGTGGTCAAAAGATTATTCAGCATCATCAACACTCATCCACATCTACCCACCCAGCGAATCCAAAAGATGAGTGCTACTTGTTGGTACTAGTAGATTGATAAAATATCCAATTCAAAATAGCAAAGACAAACTCTTCTACTTGACTTTGTGGAAAAAAAGCCTTCGATCAGTTTTCAGTAATTTGTTGATATATAAGAATAGTGGATTGAATATTATTTGTTGTTCTACTCGCTGTTAAACGAACACGAGCTACTCGAATCGTAGTTCGAATATTTTTCATCATCTATAAACCTAAACCAATTACAAGCAAAGAAATAAATTTTATGGTTGATAGAGAATTTTCGTTGTCTTGAATTTTAGGAAATGAAATATTCACATTCATTAACACTTTTGGTTTCTTTTTTTTCTTTGCTCTCACTTACAATCTCACTGACTATATGATGACCGCTATTCATCAGTATAGAATATGCAATGCAACAGAGACAATAACTGTCGGTTAGAAGGTCAATACATCTACATACATAGCATTTGTTAACCTTTACATACGTGACCGGTTAAATGATACATATAGGTCATGTCCTGAAAATCACTGCATCTATATTTATATATAAAGCGAGAGTTAGTTGCTGCATTTGAATTGTTCTTTTCGAAACATACTCGCATTTATATTTATACAAAAACAACAAATACAGATTCAAATTTGAAAATCATGGGAACAGTCACATCTATTGATGAACAAAATCAACCAACTAATGGTAATCTTCTATCAACGTTATCATCAAATAACATTGAGAATTTACTTGTTCTTTATAGAATCGAAAATTAAACATCAACGTTGTAGAAGAACATTCACGTATTATCAAATAGTTGAATCAGAAAAAGCATTTTCTTATTGCAAGTAAGAGAAAAAAATATTTTTTCTATTTATATACCAATACATATATGTAGGTATCCCACAAAGCGTGAACGTTGTGAACTTGCTCGTAGATCTGGTTTAAATGAACGACAAGTTAGAGTAAGAGAAAGTATATTTTATTTTGTATGCTAATATATTAGTTTCGTTTATTTAGATTTGGTTTCTCAATCGATATGTATAAATTACGAGTTCTTTTTGCATTTTGTTCAGTTATACTTATGAATCTTTTTACTTTAGTCGACAGAAATGGTTAAAAGATAACATAATAGGATATTTTAATGCAAATCCAATAAATCCCAATCGTTATTATCCGCAAGATGCTGCATGATGGTTGTCATTAACAAATGTTCAAATACAATTAATTGATGCACGTATATCTAATCATTAGTCGATAGTTGTAGAATTTATACTATTTCATTGTGTTTCTTAGAAATTAATTGTTGATTATATAGTTTATTCAAAATAAAATATGATTTATCTATCGTTGTTGTTTAACCAACTTTTTTACGATGATAAAGCACAACAACAATGTTCCTTTTTAATCTTCTGAGGGTAAAAATGTCATTTGAATAAACATTATAATTACAACAGGAAACCAAAATGCCATATAGAATGATGAAACAATCTATAATTGAAAAATCATTTTACGATGACGTCGTAAATGAACAATTTGTTGTTGAATTCTCTATCGACAGATAACTCAAGTAATTAAGAACAATATTTATGAACCTTGTTGCGAACCATCTGCTAATAAACTATAAAGAATCGGTTCACTACATTGAGGCGCAAATTTTTGAGCTCAAGAGTATGGATACTGTATTCATCTAGCACCCAAATTCACACTCATGTCAAAGAACTATTTGCCTTAGATTAATAATTTTATTATCTATTATTCATAAGCAGCATAAATATAAAATAGAATTTCTGATATATTAATAAGAAGAATTAAAAAAATGATGATATTCATTATTAGTCCACATGCAATACTTATGTTATTGGTTGGTAGGTAATGTAATGGGCTCTGTCTGAACAACTGAATATAATGATGAAAGAGCTATTCCAATACGATTCTTGTGCATATCAAATATAGTATAAAAATGTCTCATAAAGATAGTACCAAAAATCCAAATATTGACATCTACATCGGGAACATCAGGAACATCAATTGCTTCTATCAAGACATAGCAAGTGTAGGTAGAAGAATTACCAACAGTTAACATGTACATTGGTGGTGTCAGTACAAATGGAACTCCACTAATTGTTAACGATATATTTGGCAATGTTGATAATGGTTTTGTTTGACAATCGACAGTGTACTAAAATAAAAGGAAAAAGAAATTAGAAAATCCTCGATACAATACTCAAATTTGAAAAGGCCTGTTGTCGACAACATAATGTATAATCTCTAAAGTGACCAATTTTCACTTACCACTCCAACGGTTGGATCAAATACTGCTTCTAACATTGCATAAATGGTATTCACATAAACTACAGGACCTACAAAGGCTACTGAATCGCCAGTATCAAAAGCGGCACGAAATGATGTGGCAATGGTAGTTGTATTTGATCCAACTGACAAGCTAATACTGTCGACAATAAATTGCCAGTGTCGTTGTATATTAACTGGCACATATGTAACACAACCGACGAATTTTGTTGTATCGTAACCACCTAAGATTAATTCGCCTGTATCAGTACCAGTCGATATTCTAGTGAACACAGAAAAAAAAGTATTTTAATGAAAACTTTTAAGCGTTTGCAAATATATACATACGGTTCAATCCAAAAGGTAAATATAGGAAGTTTTAATTTACCAGCCAGATACATTGAGAAAACGACTGGATTTTCACCAATTACTGTATTTGATGGATAAGCCATCCCCAATATTCCATCGAAAACCACTCCTGTGACACCAATAGCTGTATTAATAATGGCAAAAGTTTGATTGGAAACAGATATACCACCCATCTGAAAAGAATATGATTCTTGTTATTGTTTTAACAGAATAAATAATTTATACATACATCAACTGTATCATTCGCAAACGTTCCATTAATGGAAGCTCCATTGAGATAAGAATAAAAGAAGTCTTTATTCCATGGTACATATGTTGATGATGCATCAGCATCAAATGCATGAGTACCTCCTAAAAACAAAAATTAAATTTGAATATTTAATTGACATAAAAAATTCTCTTCACAATACCACATAAATTTCCACATGCTGGGCCTGGTATCCAAAAATCAGCTGCTCCTGTATCAATAAGAACATAGAATGGTTGGCCGGGAGTACCAACGGTTACCAAGCCCACCCAATACGACTACATATAGAACAATAAAGAATTACTCAATAAATATCATTAAAAAATTGAGATACTCACTCCGAATAAGTCATCAATTAACGTAAGATTTGCTGTCTTCCGTGTCACTGAATGTTTTCTTAGAGCTCGTTGGATTATTGTACTATGCCAATGGTGACACTCATCTGAATTAATGCTCTTACCACATCGATGTTTTTTCTTTTGAATTGGAATACTTTTGAAAAAAAAGGGTAAACATAATTAAAATGATTTCAATTGTCAATGAATGTTTGTAAAGACATACCGTTTTAATTTATCATTGTGAGAATTTTTACTAATATCAGGTAGGCCAATACTATATAATTTAAAAGTTAAAATTATGATAATAAATATTGATATGTCTTACCAATTATTTATCGTCGTTGTAGCTGTTGAAGAACGTTTTGTAGTTCTTGAGGATCGCGTTGTAGTACTTGTAGATCGTGTCGTAGTTCTTGTAGATCGCGTCATAGTACTTGTAGATCGTGTCGAATGGACTATAAATTAAAGAGAAGGTTTTGCCAAGGAAATCATCTGATAGTCTTATAAAAGTTAGGGATACTAATAGATGCGATTGTACAATTAAAGTTATTTTTTTAGAGCCATTTCACACCTATTATTTGAATAGCGTCGTGTATGCTTAACTTAATTCATTCACATTACCTGGACGTCGTGATGGACGTGGATATCGAGGTCGGGATCGTGAGCGTGATGGTGGTTGCGGTCGTTCATCACTATTGTATGAATCCTTAGAAGAATAATGTTTAGTATTTTCTTCTTTTTCTTCTTCTTCTTCTTCGTCTTCTTCTGATTCAGAATTATGAGCGATGTTGACCTCTTTCTCTTCATATTTAGACGACGAAAACGAGCCATAATTTGTGTGCATACCACCCGTAAATCCACCTGTACGTGGATTAATTTTAGGTATTCGCGAGCCACTCACTATCAAATAATAAAAAATTTATCAAAGAAATTTTTACTAAATAAAAAACTAACAAGGAGATGGTTGATAAATCGTAATTATATCAAAATTTTCACTTGGTCGCTTGCCATTACTATAAAAACTAGCATAACCAGCTGCAATTAGTTCAGCGATCGAAAAACGTTTTCCATATCTGTTGATCAATGGGGGAATTACATATACTATAAATATATAGCTATTATTAACAATATTTTTAGATATAAGCACTTACCACTACTTTTCGAATAAATAAATGTATGTCGGCTACGTCGATCAGCAAAAATCGAAGTCCATGGCATAAAACTAATGAATGAATCTTTTATTGCTGCAAAAGAAAATATAATGAAAAAAA